TATGAGGTCCCAACGAAAATCTACATGAATGTTGGTATCCATAACCCTAAGGCCAACATCATCACCAACAACAGTAATATCAAACAACGACTTCGATAACACATTGGTAAAAGACTAGTCATACCTCCCATTTTGAATTTAAATTCGCTTCCTTGAATTTTATGCAACCTAGCGTAACACACTCTAATGAGATCCTCGTTGTAGTCTTGTGAGAGTTGCAAAAAATAGTTGATTTTTTGATGCTCGACACAATTAAAAATTTCTGGAAGTTTCAGGTCTTCGACCATCGTGACTTTGTACACATGTTACTTCACAACAAGCCTATCTTGGCACTTTTCTTCAAAGACCTTAACATCATCAGCATTAACCAAGGAAAACACGTTATCAGGAACATTTGAGGAGGAACCAGCCTTGCCCTTACCTTTGACATCACTTTTGTTCTTTGCTACTCTTGGTGCCATGGTTGAAATAGCAAACTGAGCTTGCACATAAGGTGTTTTATAAAATGTGTGAATAAAGTGGTTTGTTGTTTGAGAGAATTTTGATTACCCACAAACCCCAAATGTGACATAAAGATATGAAAACACAAAAATGACAATTAAACAGTAAATGTATGCAAATTTGAAGCTTAGAGGGTTTGGGTGTGATTTGGAAGATGCGAGAGCAAAGGTTTTATGGAAGAAGAAATTTTAGTGGAGATTTCATGAGTTGTTGGTAAATGTAGACTTAAATGATTTATGGTGGAGGAATTTATAAGGTATAATGGAGGATTAAATGTGAAAAGAAATGAATCAAGACACAATTTGACTAGAAGAGGTTTTGTGATGGGTGCATGAATGGAAAGACAATTATGGATTAGGAAAAGATAGAGCAAAAATCTGATATGAGTGACTCTATGTAGCGCACGGGTTGACCTGTATAGGTCATGAGTCAACACATTCGACTAATGTGTCAGCACATACTGAACCAAAAAAAAAATCTAAAACTTTAATTGATGAGTCGACACATTCGATACATGTGTCGACACATACTGAACTAAAATTTAAAATTCTGAATCATTAACATATGAGTCGACATGTAAACATCATGTGTCGACGCATGAATATTTAATTTGAGACATAAGATTTTGGGTTGACTTGTCACAAGTGACTCATGTATGAATGCTTATTAGAGACACATGTAAATAAACATTTTTCATGATTTGACACTAATGAACATGCATACACATATATGCAAATATAAAATATAAACAACATATAATGCATGTAAGGATAGTATAATGATGTCACTATAAGCATATGAATTGAAATATATTATAGTTATCAATTGAAAATTTTGAAAATGAACACTCATAACACATATCATACATCAAGTAGCATATGCCTTAGAGTAATAAGCAGGTAAAAGAGAGACTTTACTCATAAAGAAAAATTGAAACGATATAACCTCACCATACAAACGACGGAGGATGCACTTAACATTTCACAAGGAACTCCCAAATGAAAGTTGAAACAAATGCGAACAGTACCACAAAAGCTTTAGACATCAATGTTTTCACCACTTTTCTCTTTGTCAAAATACCATATGTGTCTGGTCTTTGATACAATCAAATACATTAATTATTCAATGAATCTAATAAAAAGTAAAATGTCTCTTATAAAAAGGATCAGAAATATAATAAGCAACATTATTATCACATGAAAAACAAACTATTGCTCCAAAAACTATCATTGATTGATCCTTCTATTAATACAAATGTGTAGCTTGAAAAAATATATTTAGATTGAAATATATTTGTTTCAATGTTCAAATAAATAGGAGTAGATTTTATGTATTTAATAAATAAAAAATTACACCTTTTAAATTGATTACAAAATCAATGACTATTATTATAAAATTAAACAATATTTATTTATTATTATTATTATTAATATTATTATTATTTATGTATATTGTCAAAACAATTCTTAGGTGTTAAAAATGAAACAAATTTCATTAATGTGTTTTTTATCATCTTAAAATAATATAAACAAATTTATATATTTTTTAAAAGAAAAAAATTAGGTTTAAAATATGTCAATAATTCATTAAGTTAAAGGCTAAAATATGAAAGTTACGTAGTAGTGATCCATACATACAAAAGTGTAAAGACTATAAATAATTGATCTTTTACTTATCCTTTTACAAAAAAATTAAAAGTTAAATTTGTTATTTAAGAGAGTCGCAAAATCATATGTTTAAATTTTGAAACTTAATTGTGTTTAAATTTATTTTCTATTAGATGATAAAATTATATAATATCAATAACATCCATAAATTTATAATACAGAAGAATTTAAAAATTATAAGTATGCCCGACGTGCCAAACCTATTTTTCTGATGGACCGACAAGATATTTGCTTAAATCGAACAAATATTAGAGATCATGTGTTTAATGACTTCTGAATTCCTATAGCATATAACTTCAAATTACTACACAAATTTAACAAACATAATATTATTCAGTTAATTAAATCCAATCTAATTATTATCAATTTTAATTTGTTATTAAACCAATATATTTTTGGTGTATAATATGTTTTATTTTATAATGTTTGTTAATATAAATTATAAAATTAAAATTATAAGCAATTATAAAAATTATGAGTATGTCCGACGGGTCAAACCTGTTTTTCTACCATATATTTGATTTATGCAAAATATTCATTTTGGTCTCTTAACTATACCTCTAGGTTCAGTTTAGTCCCTTATATTTTTTCGTGCCAAATTGATTCTTTAACTTTTTAATAGATGCATATCAGTCACTTCCGTCTACTCTGTTAGTCAAAGTCCGTTAAATATCTACGCGACAGTTCTCGTGACGGACTTAGCGTCGAAAAAACCAACGCTAAAAATAATTTCTGAAAATTAATTATTGTTGTTCATCTTCTTCCCCAAATTTTTTCATAAATAAAACCTAAAAAAATTTGTTCAAAATCTAATAAAAAAATCACAAGAAATGAGAACAAGAAAAAACCTTCAACGTCCAAATTGGAAAAAAAAATTGATGTTGGAAACTAAACGTTAAACGTTCATCTCCTCAGTTTAACATGAACACTAAAAAAACCCTAAATTAATATCCTCAACATTCAAATTTAAAATCAGAACAAGAAATCTAAAGCCTTAAACGTCCAAATCGAAAACCAAGTAAGCAAGAGTGGCTTCAATTCAAAGGTAAGGTAAAATGTTTTGGTTCTCTTGCTCTACTCCTATGTTTCGATTCCGCTTCCTTCTCTGTTCTTTTGCTTCCGTTTTATCTCTTTCTGTTTCTGGAAATCGAGCGAGTCATGTTGTTGGTTTGCTTCTGTTACAGAATAAACATTGATGTTGTATGTTGTATTTCGTTAAAGCATCAAAACATTGTTGATCAGAAGCTTTGTGGTGGTGATAAATAATAACGATTGTGTTTGGTTGAGGGGTTGTATCTGGGTGGAATTTACAGATCTAGAGTTGTGATTTATGGAGTTCGATTTTGGTGTTGAAACGTGAAGGCAGAAGGATAACCGTAGACAATGTTTCACGATGGAACCCATTTCCATTAACCAACAAAATCATAAAGGAGAATTACAGTATGATAACATAGCTTAGTCCGAACAAAACATTAACCACTCGAAATCTCTTTTTTCTATACATAATTTAGAGATATTATCAATTCTTTTGATAAATCCAAATCATTTAACCACTGCAAATCTCTTGGTTGTTTGAGTTATCATATGATTTTAACATGACTTAGATAAATCCCAACCAAGTTTAGTTTTAGTATGTTTCAAATAGATTTTAGGTTTTGTTTGATTAGTTGGATTTGAATAGATGAGTTTATGAAAAAAAATTGGGGAAGAAAATGAACAAAAATAATTAATTTCCAGAAATAATTTTTAGCGTCAGTTTTTCCGATGCTAAGTTCGTCACAAGAGCTGTCACGTAGATATTTAACAGACTTTAACTAACGGAGTAGACGGAAGGGACTGATATGTATTTATTAAAAAGTTAAATGATCAATTTGGTACGAAAAAAGATAAGAGACCAAACTGAACCTAAAAATATAGTTAAAAGACAAAAATGAGTATTTAGCCTTTGGTTTAATAGCAATTACCAAATCTATGTATATCGTGACAACTACTAGAACTTATAAATTAAATTAATATTTGTATGACAACTATCATTACAATTTTGTTTTCCGTTAATTCGTATATATTTTTATATAAATTTCTTAACTATAATTATATAATATTTATTAAATATTTATATCGATTTTTCGCAACTCGTACAAACACATGAATCCTTTACTGATATAAATAAATAAAAAAATATTTAGTTACATTTAATTTAAATTTGATGAAATAACATTTAGATTGAAAGTCACATGTATTTAGTCTTGAATTAAATCAAATACATTTCTATGTGTGCAATTTTAAAAAATGAATAAAAAAGTATTTAGTTACATTTAATTTAAATTTGATGAAATAACATTTAGATTGAAAGTCACATGTATTTAGTCTTGAATTAAATTAAATACATTTCTATGTGTACAATTTTAAAAAATGAATAAAAAAGTATTTAATTACATTTAATTTAAATTTGATGAAATAACATTTAGATTGAAAGTCACATGTATTTAGTCTTGAATTAAATTAAATACATTTCTATGTGTACAATTTTAAAAAATGAATAAAAAAGTATTTAGTTACATTTAATTTAAATTTGATGAAATGACATTTAGATTGAAAGTCACATGTATTTAGTCTTGAATTAAATCAAATACATTTCTATGGGTGCAATTTAAAAAAATAATTATAATTAAATTTAAAATAAAAAATATTAAACCCCATTCATCATAAACCCTGTCCTGTCCTGTCCTGTCTGTATTCAAGCATCACCGATTCATTTATAAAGTGACCGAATCTCCATTTCATCAGTCGGGTTTGATTTCACCAACTTCCCACCCCACTCACTAATCAAACATGGCCGCCGCTAATCTAACTTCTCAAACCCTCAGACTCCCCACACCAACCTCCCTCTCTCTCTCCTCCAAACTTCCTCTCTCCTCCTTCTCCCTCCCCCTCCCTTCCCACCGCCGCCGCTCTCTAGTCGTCTTCGTCTCCGCCGACGCCAAACCCACCGTCCTCGTCGCGGAAAAGCTTGGCGAAGCCGGTCTCACTCTTCTCAAAGACTTCGCCAACGTGGACTGCTCCTACAATCTCAGCCCCGAGGAGCTTTGCACTAAGATCTCGCTCTGTGACGCTCTCGTCGTCAGAAGTGGTACAAAAGTCTCCCGTGAAGTGTTTGAGTCCTCCGGCGGTAGGCTTAAGGTAGTGGGAAGAGCTGGCGTTGGAATCGATAACGTGGATCTGGCGGCTGCCACTGAACATGGTTGCTTGGTTGTTAATGCTCCCACTGCGAATACTGTTGCTGCCGCGGAGCACGGGATCGCTCTCTTGGCTTCCATGGCTAGAAATGTTGCTCAGGCTGATGCTTCTATTAAAGCTGGTATGGTTTTTTAGTTGAAGCATTTTATCGAACACCTTGTTTGTTATATTTTGTTTAGATCCTCTTGCTTTTAGTTACTACTTTTTGTTTTGTTTCATTTCATTTCACATCTTTTTATTCTTTTACATGGTAACGCAAGTGTAAAATTTTCTGTTAAGAGGGAAATTTCCTTTCCTTATGTATGCATGTTGAGATCTATTTTTCTCTATGAGGTAATTTTATTTTTTATTTTTTATTTCTTTTATATGTATTTTATGAGTGATGTTTATGTTGTGTCTTTGGTGATTAGTTTGTTATGGTTTGTGGTTTATGCAGGGAAATGGTTGAGAAATAAGTATGTTGGGGTTTCCCTTGTTGGGAAGACACTTGCTGTACTGGGATTTGGGAAGGTTGGTACTGAAGTTGCTAGGCGTGCTAAGGGGCTTGGTATGAATGTTATTGCTCATGATCCTTATGCTCCTGCTGACCGTGCGCGTGCTATTGGTGTGGAGCTTGTGAGCTTTGATGATGCTATTGCTACTGCTGATTTTATATCTTTGCATATGCCGCTTACGCCTGCTACCTCGAAGATGCTTAATGATGAGACCTTTGCTAAGATGAAGAAAGGTGTTAGGATTGTTAATGTTGCTCGTGGTGGAGTCATTGATGAGGATGCGCTTGTTAGAGCGTTGGATTCTGGAATTGTAGCTCAGGTTTGAAGCATTGAGCAACTAATTGTTTACTACTCTAGAGGATAGTACTTGATAATTAGTTGGGTCGAAATAATAACAGTTTATGTCTCTTTGTTTCAGGCGGCTCTTGATGTTTTCACGGTGGAACCACCCCCCAAAGACAGCAAGTTGGTCTTACATGAGCTAGTTACCGCAACACCTCATCTAGGTGCCAGTACTATGGAAGCTCAGGTAAGTTACTTAAAGCAAATTGGTTATGACTACAAGTTTTACCTTTTCCCCCTTTTATTTTCACCAGTGTCTAATAACCTTTTGAAAATGATGAGCAGGAAGGTGTGGCTATTGAAATAGCAGAAGCTGTTGTTGGGGCGTTGAAAGGGGAGCTTGCTGCTACTGCAGTCAATGCACCAATGGTTCCCTCAGAGGTACTAGAAAAATAAATCATCTTTATGCTTTTATTTCATGATATACACCTTGCTTCATGGTATTGCTATTGCTTCTCTCCCCTAACTATATTGTTTTTCATGTGGAATAATTCACTAACTTGATGTGTAACCATTTTCTAATGTTGGAAGTGATATTTGGAACCAAAGTCTCTAATTTTCAAATTTTAACTGCCATTAGCTCAGTTGTTTCGATGATAAATGTAAAAGCTTGATTTGAGAAATCTAATATAACAATCTTATTATGAGTTTTATTACTTCTCTGGCTTTATCTCAAGCTTATCATAACAAAATTAATGGATTGGAGTTGGTGATAAAATTGGCCACCGGAATGGCCCAAGTTTAACGGCTTTTTAATTCCTTTGTGACCGTGATTGCAGGTGTTAACTGAGCTAAAACCATTTGTTGTTCTTGCTGAGAAACTGGGGAGGCTGGCTGTGCAACTGGTTGCAGGAGGAAGTGGTGTAAAATCAGTGAAAGTGACTTATGCTTCTGCTAGGGCCCCGGATGATCTTGATACTCGTCTTCTCCGTGCTATGATAACAAAGGGTCTGATTGAGCCCATATCCAGCGTTTTCGTGAACTTAGTTAACGCCGACTTCACTGCTAAACAAAGAGGGATAAGAATAACCGAGGAGCGAGTTATTCTTGACGGTTCACCTGAGAATCCACTTGAATTCATCCAGGTCCAGATTGCTAATGTGGAATCTCGTTTTGCCAGCGCCATATCTGATTCAGGGGATGTTACAGTTGAGGGTCGTGTGAAAGATGGTGTCCCTCATCTTACAAAGGTTGGATCTTTTGAAGTTGATGTAAGTTTGGAAGGTAGCATCATTCTCTGCAGTCAGGTAGATCAACCAGGTATGATTGGAAAGGTGGGAAGCATTTTGGGTGAAGAGAATGTGAATGTCAGCTTCATGAGTGTCGGAAGAATTGCTCCAAGGAAGCAAGCTGTGATGGCGATTGGAGTTGATGAACAACCCCGCAAAGAAAGTTTGAAAAGGATTGGAGATATTCCGGCTATCGAAGAATTTGTTTTCCTCAAGTTGTAAGATTAAAATGTTTGTGTTGTGTTTTATTTTTCTTTCGATTGGGTGTATTTGGCAGGTGTGCCCAGTTTTGATGTATCACGTGAACAAGTGAGTAGTGAAGTCTTCGGGAGATGAGGAAAATAATAATTTAATTTGGTGAAATTCCTGCTTTTTAATTTCATTTGATAATAGAGAAAAGAGGGTTTGCTACCTGCCACTCTTTCTACATGTTGAGTTCAATCTCAAAATTCAAAAATATTTTTCGGACGGGCATTTTCGAACACATCATTCAACATGTTTCGGATATGTAAATTCAAAGTTACATTGCAAATATGTCAATAGATGTTTTAGATATGTATATCTGAAACATTGTCTGTTTGTGTTAGTTTTGTTTAAAATATCATTACCTCTATCTAATAAACAAACAAACGGATAAATGCGATTTGGATAAAAAATAAAATGAGCATAACAATTAGATTAGATGTTAAAAAATAAGGAAATATAACATATATAAGATGTTCAAAAATAAGGAAACATAACATATATAAGATGTTTAGAAAGTGTGTAATGTTAAAATATTACGTAGGTAAAAAAAATACAACATTACATAGGCTATTGCGTATGTCTAATAATAATCTCTTGTGACTTTCTTTGCCTTCTATATTGCACCGTATTGGATGCCTCCCTAACCATCTTTCCAACGATGGTAACCGCCTCAGGACTGTCTCTCTTAATGATTTCAGAATCCAATGCCTCATGCTCTAGAATGTGTTTTCACTGACAGATCGGCAAACTGACATGGTCATCATCGGCCTGCTCGTTCTCCAAGAGCTCCTCATGAGTTGACTTAGGTAGACGTTCTAGACCATCCAGTGTCATGAAAGGGTGTGACACGTTAAAGAACCATGTCACATATCCTTCTACACAATGCTAACTCTCGGATGCCGGCATCATTCGATACTCGTGTGGCATCAAATGATTCTCTCAATCCTGAAATATATCATTGAGATCTCTGCGGACAATGGTGTCGGGAGCAACTTGAAACGGAGATCTGAGTATCATCTGCACAAAGTCAAACTGTTGCATGCACCGCTCCTGTAGATATTTGACCATCATGTTAGTCCCACATGCAAGTCACCAGAGAATAATGAGACGGGGTCGAAGGGGACAACATCCATGTGATCTTCGAATGACGTCCATTTGATGTCATCATGATTAGTATGATACACCCGGTAAGACGACACTTTATGATTTCCTCTGTGGAGGACATACTTTGCAGCCCTTGGCATGTCGTCAGTATAAGCCGGGTCAGACTCGTAACCATGAATGTGGTGGAAGTGAGAGATGATTCAGCTCTGAAACACAAATCAGAGAATATGTAAGTACAAATTATTAAAAAAAATTAAATGTAATAGTTGAAATGAAAGGTACTGTGAGGAGTGTGCAACAGTCAATGAGCTGCCTCGTCCTCTGGTTTGAAGCTTCATTTAGCTTCTGGTAGAGGTATACCAAAATGGAGGCCCCCAGTTCTACTCATGAACTGTACTCAAATTCATAAAATATCAGAGGTATGTCACATTCATATAGGTTGCACTTTTGTCCACAAAGAGGGACGTGTCAACCAAGAACATGAAGTAACACCACAAAGCATAATTTTGGTGGTACTGAACAAAAACCTCATCACCCTCATCCCCGACCCCTACTGCTGCAACCATGTGTTCTTCATATAAGTCGCTCAAGGTGGAGAATTTTGCATGCGACCTATTAGTTGTTCTGCACTCTTCAGCTGCCTTAAATGAATCAGCTCTTAGATACTCGACCATCCATTCAATCGCCTCAGCTCGTGGTACCCGAGAATGGTTAAGTAAACTCCCTATGATAGGTATGTGGAGCAAGCAAGTCACGTCATCAAGTGTGATCCTCATCTCTCCAACAGGAAAGTGCAAAGACGACGTCTCCTTGTGTCATCTCTCGACAAATGCCCCTTGCATGCCGTGAATTATAGTAACATAACTAATACCACATAGTCCAGCAAGTGTGGATCCAACAACGACCTCATTGAACCAAGTCGCCCTATGTATAAATAATTCAAAGATTTTTCGCGAGTGGTTCACAAACTTAATGGACAACCGTTCCTGTAACAAAAAAATAATAACCGTTAAAATAATATTTGTGAGTAAACCTTTAAAATGATAAAGTGCAACAAAAATATACCTCGCCATTCCAAACACGTCGAGCGGCATGATCATTATAGTAGATCAAGACAGAGGCTTCAAAAGGCCCTCTTGGATAATCGAGGTTCGCCTGCTCGAATACCTCAACCTGCTTGGGTATATCAACCTCCCCGGGTACCTCAATCTGCTCGAGTACCTCCTCCTCATCGGGTATCTGTTCATGTGCACCAGAGGATGACGCGTGAGACAGGAGACTCCTCGGTGCAGAAGTGGAACTTCAAGGCACTTCCTCCCGTCGTATTCGATCTCGTCCTTGGGGCCTGTTAACCTGTTGCTCAACTCTCTCATGCCGAGCAGAGGGAGTCTGACTTGTCCTGCCTTATCTTAATCGATTGTTCGGGTCTTAGTTGTCAGTCATTTTCCTGAAAAATGATAATTGTTAATATGTTGGTTTAAAAAAATCAACTCAAGCAAGAATTCACATGTTCACATTCGAAACTGGTCAAGGGCGGTTTCAGATGTGCATATTCGAAACCACCTGCGAACAACCATTTTCGGAGAGCTTATTCTTCTTGTCCTAAATCATCCAAACACTAACATTTTAACTAATCTAACATCAACTTACACAATGTAATTGATTCTAACTAACCTAATAACCTATTATAGCATTGCAAAGTGAATAAAATGAAAATGGAGAAAACATATACAAATTTGGAGTTTTGGAGATGAGTTGGAATGAGTTGAAATGATTTTTTGAGTAGAAGTGAGTTAAAATGAGTAGAAATTCCAAGTTTGAGTATAAATTATGTGGGGGTGGTTTTGGGTTTGTAAAGAAATGGGTTCTAAAGCGTGAAAATATTTTGTTCGCACTGGTGAAAACAATTAAATGACTTCGGATATGCAAATCTGAAGTATTAAATTATGGGGTTATTCGGATATGCACATGGGAAGTCACCTTTTTTTGACAAAATAAAATGACTTCGGATATGCACATGCGAACCCACCTATTCTTGACAAATACAATGAGTTTGAATATGCACATTCAAAGTCACATTTTCTTGACAAAATAAAATCACTTCGGATATGTACATGCGAATTCACCTATTCTTGACAAATACGGTGAGTTCGAATATGCACATCCAAAGTATGAGGATATTTTAGGTTTTTCACCAAGAACCTTCAAAAAAACATAAAGGTGGAGAAAGAAATTATCATTCCCTATCTATTGGTCGCGAATGGCTTCAATACTACTCCGAAGTTTAAGGATTTGAGAATTTGATTGATAATTAGAATAAATCTCCATCCCAAATTATTAATATTCTAAAAAATTAGGATAAATCCACCATCTCTAAAAGTTGCTCCAATAAATTATTTAGTGTTATTTAATTTTTTTTATATTTAATCATTTATTAAATTGTTTAAATTTTGGATGGTTTTTAAGATAATTTACTCAGGTAATTTTATCTAACTTTTTATGTGTGTATAAGAATTTTTCAAAAAGGAGAGATTGGTAAAAACACTAGTGAAAAGAGTAGGAAATCGGCAAGACACACAGGAAGAAAAGAGAAGGTAAAACCTAGTAAAAAGAAGTGTCTCTAAGGTAAACGCATTTTGTTTTTGTGGTTTCTCTTGGGTGTTGTTCCTGATAAACATTTTTAGATAATTTTTTCGATGGGAATCAAGGGAGACCATAAATATAATGTATTTGAGAAGTTATTTCTTTGCTTATATGCTTGTGTGTAATTGTTCCCTCTCACTTTTTTCTTCAATGAGAGGCCCTTTTATAATCCACTTCAGGCCTTGCTCTTCATTAAGAAATGACCCTTCTAAGTCCAACGATTAAATGGAGTTCATAACCTTCACAATCACAATCACGTGTTCATAATATCTTCCTCACCAATTTTTTGTAACTTTCATGCAGTCATGAATGTAACATCCTAATTTTAATAATGAGTATATATATATATATATATATATATATATATATATATATATATATATATATATATATATATATATATATATATATATATATATATATATGTATTTAGTCTGGTCAAATGCTTAGGAATGACCCAATTCACTTCTACATCCAAGGTGACCCAATAACTTTGACCCAGACAATTGGAGCATATAAAGGACACATTTCCCCTCCTCCCTAATGGACAAACAAAATCAATTTGAATAATGAAGCAATTAAAGAATATTTGAATTGGTCATCAAATATTAAAGGAGAGTTATTTGGTTATTATTAGCATTTAGAAGCATATAACTCTGTCAAGCAGTAACAGTCAGACAACAAAAGTTTAGGCTTAATTCAAGCATTTTCTATTCAATTCTTACTATGTAATATATGTATATATATACTCAGTTGTATATCTTAGAAAAACATAATTTGATAAATTCATTCATTTATATGGTATCAGTAGTTCACTAAGCTTTACAGCAAAACGATCCTCAATCTCACCATGCCTTCCTCAACAACATCTGAAATTTCAATTACCCCAAATGCCAACTCTGTTATTGTCCTAAACAATCACTCGTCAGTGAAACTGAGCAGCAACAATTTTCCTGCTTGGCACGTGCATTTCAATGCACTCCTTGTAGGGTATGATCTCATTGGCTATGTTGATGGCACCACTTCCAGTCCAGCCCAAATAGATCCAACATACAAACGTTGGAAAAGACAGGATCAATTGATCCTGCATGCAATCATATCATCTGTTGATCCAAGCATCATTACCATGTTGGGGAATGTCAAGACCTCTAAACAAGCTTGGGACATTCTCACTAAGATGTTTGCAAGCAAAACTCGTGCAAGAATTATCCACCTAAAAGAGAGACTCTCTCGATTCACAAAAGGATCACAATCCATCTCTGAATACCTCAATGGTATCAAGGCTTTATCTGATGAATTTTCCATCATCAACTCCCCAGTGGATGATGTGGATCTTGTCATCCACACTTTGAATGGCCTTGGCTCTGACTATCGAGAAGTGACTGCTTCTCTAAGAACCAGAGAAAATCCTATCGGATTTGATGATCTTCATGACCTCCTTTCTAATTTTGAAAATTATTTAAAGAGGGATGCAAGTGTGCAAGAAACTCCTCTCATTGCTACTGCAAACACTACACACAAGGGAAAACAATTCTACAACAAAACACCAAAACAATATCATAATCACACAATGCCCAGATCAACATCGTCGGGCTTCTCAAAGCGTGTAGTATGTCAATTTTGTGACAAACCAGGCCATACAGCCAAGGTCTGCTACAAATTGCATGGCTACCCTCCAAAGAATCAACCTCCTACTGCTCTTCATACTAGGGCCATGCTCCCAGGTGCATCCAATTGGATCTTAGACTCGGGAGCTTCCCATCATATAACAAATGAGTTGGACAACATGCACTTTTCTCAACCTTACACAGGTTCAGATCAACTTCTGGTTGGTGATGGATCTGGACACACTGTGATACGGTGGGAGAACTGACTTGAGGTTTTGCGTTTGTGTTCGCAAATGTTTCGGTTTAGAAAGAGTCGCCACCGACTTTTATTTTATCCAAAAGGAAAGGTAAAAAAGCACAGGAAAGACCTTTGAGATTGTTTTTGAGTTCAGGGGGTAGATTATGAAAAGGGAAGGTGCTAGCGCCCTTTTCATCCATGGTTTTCCATGGGATCTTAGTTACTTGTTTTAGATCACTTGCTTTTGCTTTTCAATTGTTTGAAATGTTGCTTTGCGTGGTTTTGAAAGTATTTTGAAAAGAGGCCATCGTGTTGGCAATCTTTGTAATGATTCTTGTTTGTAAGAATGTATATAAAGATGTTTGTCTTTTGAAAAATGTTTCAATGTTTTGAAAGTTGTTTGGAAATGTTTTGAAAATGTGTGTGTTTGTTTGAAAATATCAAGGATGGTTTGCAAATTGATCAAGTAACTAGAAGCATCTACCTACTCAAAAGTCTTTCCTACACATTTTTATTCCTTTGATATTGTTGTTTTACCATTGTATTTGGTAAACAACCCTACCTTCGGATGTTAAACGGGACGGGCGTGGATCATCGTATGGCCATGATAGCAATAGTGCCAAGTATCTTAGCAAGTTTTAGGGACCAAGATCATCTTTGTTTAGGCAACCAAGATAGCGTCAGCGAGAGACTATGATCTTTTGTTTTGTTTTGTTTTGCCAAGATACCTAGCATGCATACCATGGCCATGTTTTTTAAGGCAACAAAGTGGATGAAACCCTAGGGGTGTTGTGTGCAATGTGTTGTCATTTTTCATGCATTTTTGTCTTGCATTTAAGTCATGCTATTTGTTTTGATTTTTTTGGTCTTTGCATACAAAACCCTAGTTTACTATCATGGTATATGAAAGCAATAAAATGCGTAAAGTAAATCTAGACTATTATAACAATATTATGGGAAGGGGGATACAATTTTGAATGGGGGATATTGCTCAAAATAAACCCTAATTTGCTATTACAACCCAATTGAATTTATACAATAAATAAATGAACAATTATTTAAATGTGCAATAAAATGTAAATATGCAAAAAATGTTTTTATATTAATTTTATGTATGTAAAAATAAATTTATTTAAGTCTTAGAAATAAGAAAAATAAAATGATTATTTTTGAAAGGGTGAAAACCCTAATTTTTGTTTTAAAAGAAAATATTGTTTTCTAATTATTTATTTGTCCATTTTTGTTCTAGAAAAATAATAATAATATTATGTACAAAATGTTAAAAAATTGAAATATGTATGAGAATATTATTTTAAATGTATAAATAATAAAAATAAAAATGTATGATATTTTAATATTATTTACAAGTTTATTCAAGAAAATAAATTCTATTAAACCTAATAAACTATTTATTATGCAAAAAAAAAAAGATAAAATGCCAAAAATGAAGAAAATATTTTTTGTGATTTTAAATGTTCAAAATAAATAAATAAAAGTCAGAAACATGAAATATGCAAGAAAATACAAAAAATATAAAATAAAAGGTCAGGGGGGTGCAAAAGTAAATGGGGGGGGGGGGGTGCAAAAAGTCAGAAAAGCCAGGCCCAAGCGCGCCAAGCCCAGACACTTCGTCCCTGACCTCTGTCTCCTCCAAAACGCGCGCGCTGTACTTCAAATCCTGTTCTTGCTGTTCTTTACATAAAATCAAAAACTTATAACATGAAAAATGTAGCTCATGATCACACGATTTCAATGATATAAAGAACATGACCTAACTCTCAAAGATCAGAGAGAATTTTAATGGCCCTAATTTCTGACCCAGTTTTTTCAGCATGTTCAACATCCAAATACTCTTAGCCCAATTAATATAAATGGAATCTAAGCATATGTACAACTCAAGCATGTTAAAGACTACATTTTTGCTTCACAAACCTAAGCTTAAGGATGCCTAAATAGAGAGATAGAAACTTGACAAATACCTTGTTCAGTTGAGTTTGAATATGGCAATGTGGAGACTTTGAGTGAGGCCTGAAGGTCGTGTGAGCTTGCTTGAAGTTCCCTCAAGCTATCCTAATGCTCAGCTTGCGTTGAAGTTGCCTGAATCTCCTTGTAGAAGTCAACCTGCAAACTCAAAAAGTGAAAATGGTGAAGCTTGAAACAGGGGTTACAGTTGCTGAACAAAGGCCTGGATAGTTTAGGTAAAAGGTATGGAATGTGTTAGAAGCCTTGAAACAAAAAACGCACGGGCAAAATATGTTTTGGCTAGTGACTTGCAGAGGTTGCCCTGTTTTTGGCAGAAATGGTGTTTTTGGTGTATTTGAGTGTTTGAGAAGTTGTGAATTTGTGTATCTTGCTTGTTACAAGATTCTGAACCTGTTTGAAATGATACAAAGTCTTGCCTTTATCAGATACACAAGTTGTGTGGACTTTTGCAAGTTTGCTTGCTTTTGAAGAAAAGGTGAAGTGACAAAGCCAAAGGCCTGTAGAGGCTAGCTCAAGGTCTGATGAGAGTTGGTACAAACTGCCTGATATTTGTGGATATTGTTTGCAGCAAAATATTAGGTCCATGGCTCACGATAAACAAAGTTGCTAAAAGCATGCTTTATCAAAGTAGCATTGTTACCTTTATGCCATTTTTGGATTAATTCAATGTACAAAGCTCCATAGGTCAGAATAATAACATTTTCCAATGTGTTTGCATTAAATTAAGGAGTGTAGAAAGGATTAGGACCTGTAATGCAAGTAGAAGCAAGTTTGAAACTGATTTGCAACTTGTAACAATGTGAAAAATGCCATGGACAAAAGTGAGAAATTGCCATTTTCATTTCTTCGATTCTCCATAACCATAAATGATCTTGGAGAGTTCTTCGACATTTTGGAAATATTGTAATATGATCTAAAATCCATCTTTGAAATTCATTTTTATATTCCTCTAGGAACTAGGTGAAAAGTTGCCATGAAGTTAGATCAAAAATCTGCCTAAACTAGGGCAAAATTTCACTAAGTTAAAAAGTTTATGGACCCCTATTCACAAAATCATAACTTGAGATCCAAGCATCTTTTGGGAAAACTTTTTGAATAAAAGTTGTATATTTTGTGGAGGATTACAACTTTGATGTTGGAAGTTTTCTTTGAATCCAATTGCATCATGGTGAAAAAGTTGGGAAAAGTTGGGAAAAAATAAGAAATTTTCATAACTTAGAAAATTTCTAAGATATGAAAAATTTCAAACTTAAACCCTAATTTCCAAATATAAGTTTCTTGGTGAACAAGTTTCTGGTTTTGACACATCTTGATGAATTATGACCCTTGGCACTTGATTTTGACCAAAAAGTCAAAGTTTGACTTTTCAGTGTACAGTTGATTTTTGATCAGTTGACTGGAAAATTCATCTGTCAATCCTATGCATTTGAGATCTTTTGAACTATGTGATTAGGTCAAGATGATGCTATTGAGTCCTTGAAATCATGCTTGAACCCAATTGGCCATTTGCTAGGTGAAAAATCAGAAATTGCCCTTCCTTAGTCAAAACCCTAATTTTGACCATTTTGCCCTTTTGAAGATCTGATCAAATTTCTTGAGGAGTTGTGGTCCAAACTTGATCAAATGGTTCATATGAGTCTATAATATTGATGTGGATAAACAATTATGAGGTTTGACTGTAAATTGGTCATGGTTGACTTTTTCCCCAATACAGCTGATTTTTAGGTCAACTGTCCAATTGACTGGACAAAAAAGTGCTTCAAGGCTTGAAACTTGGTATGAGCAATCTTAGAGGTCCAAAATGAAGTATGGAAGTCATATTAAGCATTGATGGTCCAAAAATCCTTGTGCAAACTCAAACCCTAATTTCAAGTCATCAGTGCAAGGAGATGTCTTGAGCTGAGCAAACCCTAATCCTGTCTGGAGTCCAAGAGGTCTTGTGAGGAGAATCTTGATAAAATGAGAGGGAAAATTTTGGGGTACAACAGCTGCCCCTATTCAATCTTCTTGAACCTGAAGAGTTAGATTGGCGAGTTTGCCGTTTGTGACTCGAAGGTAAAAGATGATTGGACACTAGAGTGCCCGTAAATTGGCACTCGTCAAATTGTAGTTGAGGGAATGGGCTTAAAGATGCCATTTGGAGAGGTGATCAAATCTTGTTAGAGACGGGCTTGTAGATGCCATCCAAGAATGTTGGCTGAATATCAGGAGAATGAACATCAGAATGGTATCTGTATCTGGAACGTATCTGAGTTGTATATGGAGATTGAATTTGAAAGAGCAAAGGAATATCAGTCGTGTCTGGAGTGTATCCGAGTTGTATCTGTATTTGAATTTGAATGAATAACAGAATGACTTCCGTGTCTGGAGTGTATCTGTATTGTATCTGAGTCTGAAATCTGAATAGGCGACATAATAGCATCCGTGTCTGGAGCGTCTCTGGGATGGGGAAAAAGTCAGAATAAGTGACACAATGGCAACCGTGTCTGGAGCGTATCTGGACTTTATCTTGACTTGAAATATGAATAAGTATCAGAATGACTTTCGTGTCTGGAGTGTATCTGTACTGTATCTGAATAAGAGATCTGAATGAGTAACATAATGACTTCCGTGTCTGGAGTGTATCCGTACTGTATCTTGACTTTGAATTCTGAATGAGTAACAGAATGACTTCCGTGTCTGGAGTGTATCCGTACTGTATCTGAATAAGAGATCTGAAGGAGTAACAGAATGACTTCTGTGTCTGGAGTGTATCTGTACTGTATCTGAATAAGAGATCTGAATGAGTAAAAGAATGACTTCCGTATCTGGAGTGTATCCGTACTGTATCTGAAATCTTTGAATATTTGTTAAAGATAGCTGTTAATCTTATCCTGAAAAGGGTAAAATGTTAGCTGAAACACAAAGTTACGTTGCATGAAATGTATGATGCAATAAATGTGTTTTATCAATGTTTATGATGCATGTAAGCTGATTCGCTGTATTGCCGAGGAAAATAAATACTTGACAGTTGGGGATAACAAAACCCTCGACTGCTGCCGGGGA